CAACCAAAAAAAGGTGGTCGTTTCAGGTTCCAGGTGTGATATATATAATATGAGTGTGATTTTATGCTCTCCAAAAAGACACATGTCGTCCAACCAAATTCATGTTCGTCATTTCATGAGGCTTCATGAACTTCAAGTTGTCCATGTTCATGTTTCATCCATGTTCGTGTTGTCCACCCGCTCTTGAACTGACCATTTGCAAGTTCAGACCCCCCCAACACCATCCGTCACGCCTCTTGCGTCGAGCGGATCCAGATCCGGATCCCAACAGATCCGCGGATCCGGCCGCGCGTGCCTCGTCCGCCATGGGGAACGTGGCGACGTGCGGGCCGTGTCATGCGAGCACTGGACACATTTGCAGAGAAGCGACTCGGCTCTGGAGCCCGGTCGCAGTCCGATTCCGATGGGGTTTCACTGGTAGGGACGCCTTCTTTTTTGGAGCGTTCCTGTTTTTCCGGCATAAGGGGTGGTGTCGGGTGAATAGGCTCCTGAAATTACCCGTTGGCTAGCAAGAAGAGATCCAGTCAGGTTAGCCTGACCCTGCAGCCAAGTGACAACCCTCCAGCAGTGAATCATGTCCACCAATGATCTCATTCGGTGGAGCTTCCCAGCCTCAGCTGAACCAAGATCCGCTGCTGAACCCGAAGCAAACAAATGCAAACAACAATCCATGAGGGGGTTCTTTAGTATAAGGGATTCTGCTCCATGTGCTCTCTGAGTTTATGACCTGGGAAGCGCAAGCGGGTTTGGCCTTCACTTGCTTGCATCAACCTCAGCGAATAGAAGCTACAAGTCGTCATCCAGATTACTAGACATCCTCCGCAAAAAAAAGGAACATGCACACACCTTCGACTTGCGAGAGGATCTGGTGTATAAGACCTCAGCAAGCCGCCTCTTCTGGAATTCGTGGATTCTTCGCCCCAAAGTGTCCCCCGAAACATCTCGGAGACGACCCGAGAAAGACAACGAGTCTATTGACCGAGTCTATGGACCTACGCCATGGAGTCAGGGCGGCCAACCCGCCGAAAGACCTCGAGACCCCGAAAGACCACTGGGTGACACAGGTCCTCCTTCGTTGGGTCCACTGACCTTCGTGCCGAGTCGAGTCGATCAACTTTCTGGGTCGGTGATCACTTGCAGGGTGCGGTTCAGGTGGTGGACCGGTGGTGCCAAGCATTCTGGTCCATATGTCTATAGATTCTATAGACTACTATATGTATGATGAATACATCTGAATACTGAATACATATCTCTATATGTGGTATTTTGGTCTTCCTGGAAAGCCTATGCAAGCCATTGCAAGCACGACAATGACCAGGCTTAGTTTACTGGCAGGTCCCAGTGGCCCATTCCTGGCTGAGTGTACGCTGTGTGCTCAGGAGAAGTGCAGCATTCGCGAACTGGTGGAATGTGAGGAGGTTCAGCCAGGTGCATCGAACTCGTTCCCTCGTTCCTGGTGTTCGATGCTGCATAAACTCCTCGTCTCCGTTCGGGTTGTTCGCTTCGCCATGGAAACCACATGGACCAACGAAACGCTGTGGTCTCAACCGAGAAATCTCTCCAACCTCGACCGCGCCGCCGCGCCTTCTTCTGACCGCCCCGTCGCCCTGAGGGCCTGTGGAGGGCGACACCGCCACTAGCTTAAGAGAGCAGCTGGTGCGAAGTTTGCAGGGCACCTGGTACCAACCCGACGGCGAGCGGATCGCGGAGATCGTGGGAGAGGCGCGAAGAAATGGGTGGGTCGGTGCTCTCGGTGCTCTCGGTGGATGGAGTAGGGCCTGGGTGGTGGGGCCGGTGTGGACGATGTGTGGAAGGTGATGGGTGGGGTGGGTGGTTGGTTGCAGCTGAAGAGCCACATGGAATCTGACTCAGGGATTGATCAGACTGAAAGATACACATGTTCGAAATGTACACAGATTGATTTTCGCTTCGTCAGTCTTCGTTCGTGTGTCAATCCCCAACCGAACCAAAACTCTTGGGCCAGACTTTTCTTCTTCTCTTCCCTGCTCTTCTCCAGGTTTCACTCTCTCCTTCTCTTCTCAGGAAAAAGCGAACTGATTGGGCCCGTCTCTTCTCCAGGTTTCACCTCACTCTCACTCCCTCCCTGGTCAGGAGATCATTTGGGATCTCAGCTTGATGCAGAACGATGGCACCCAGCTCTTCTTCAATCCCCACGAGGCGCTGGTGGCCATCTACCTGGACGGCGTCGCCCACGCGGGCAAGGTGCGGGCGCTGGGCGGACCGGCGCGCCCTGCACCGGCGCTCCGGACCGACCCTGTCGGTTACCTGGAGAGTCAAGAGCAGCTCCAATGGACCCAGTCAGATAGGGGGACCCAGTTGCCTGCAGTGCCTGGAGTGTGACCCTGGTCAGTTGCCTGCAGTGCCTGGATTCCAAAGAAAAGCTGAAGCGATGTGCTCCGAGAGCTGCATGAATCCAAGTCCAAGACATTTGTATTTTTAGAAAGAGAAGGCTGACTCCCATTGGGGGTTAAACCGACTGGATCTATTTGGATTTAGACTCTAAAAACCATCTAGTCCAACAACTGCATTTACACTTCAAGGGCTATATATATATATCTACAATTACAACGTACGTTTGTTTGCTCCCAGGACTGCACCGCCCGCACGAAGGCGGCCCAAGAGCAAGCAACTCCCAAAAGCAACTCCAACTAGATTCTGCTGGCAGACAGACATTAGGCATCAAGGGTTGCTGACATCACAAGGCTGCTGGTCTCTTCCTTTCAATCTACGTTGGCACTACCTATGAAGTATGACAGCTATGCCATGTCCATGTTTGCAAGTGTTGTCCATCAACAGCTGCACCCAAACAGTGAGGCCAGCTACAAAGAGCAACCAATGATACATTCCAAGAACATGCTGAGACCGAACGCGACTTCCATCCACCCTTTCTTCACATGTCAAGCTCAGTCAGAAGACCAGTCCAGAAGACCAGTCCTCAGCCAGTGGTCCAGTCCTCCGAATGGCAGGTGATCATGGATGCTCAAGCCAACATCCGCTGGGACGATGGTGAGGTCTGGCTCCGCAAGTGACGGCGCGGCGGTTCTCCGACGGTTCCCGGCTCCGTTTTCCTTTAGCAAGGGAGGATCCGACCTGCAAAGCCGGGTGTGGTGGCCTCCCAGCAGTTCGTTGGCTCCAAGAAATTCAGAAATGCCACCAACAGAGGTTGTTCAGAACCCAAGGTCGACTGTCCTATAGGTACCACAGGTTTTCCGGGTCCTAGTTCAGGTCAATTGAGTCGCGTTCCACCTCTCTTGGTTCAGAACAGGGGAAGATAGGTCAATTTGTAGGAAGATCCCTTTAAGGCTCAGGTAAAGATCCCCTGAACACACACACAGACACAGACATTTCAGGGTTTTACTCAGTCACGCACGGATTCACACTGACTACCGTACTGAATATCTAAGGAATTGTCTACTGGTGTGTGCAATCAAGTTATATCAAGTTGGACATCAGGGTTGGATGGGCCAGCGCTTCTTTTTCCCATCTATGAACTTCTATCTTTCTTGTGCCATGAGGATGATACTGAATTTTTGAGCCCGTTGCCAGTGAATCGCAGCACCTGGCCGCTCCTGGGCGACCAAACACCGGTGCGACAAGTAAAGAATGAGGGTGGCTGGATCCGGTATCTATAGTGAGGGGTCATTCTCTCAATCCCTACGAGTCGCGCCAGTCAGATTCTTTTGCTTAGTTTAATCTAGAGGCTTTGTTGATCTTTCTTTCTTTACTGCTTGGCTCATCGGTGCCAGCCTATTCGTGTGCTGCACTCCCGTGCCGTGTGCTGCTCTCCCGTTTGGGGGGCGGGACGGATCGTTCATGGGGTCTTCTGGTGCTCCAAGTAGGGCTGGAAACCAGCACGCCAGCTGGAGCCTTCGCAGTCCAGAGGCAGGATTCATGCAGGCTCGGAGGTTTTGGGCGGGTACCGTACTACTTCCGCGAGTTTTGCTGGATTTTCATACTAGTTCAATCCATTTCATACCATATACGCTTGACTTGAGGAGGGTTTAGGGGCAAGTCTTCTGCATGCATGCATGCTCGCGCTCAATCGCGCGACTCGCCAGTAGAAATGCCAACTGAGCCCGCTTGCTACATCATTGGCCCCCACGTATTCAAACAGGAAACTTCAACCAGCTCTCATCTTTCGATCTTTGACCATGTGCTTCCCATCAACCACTCCCCTTGACCAAAAGCCCCACTGCAAAACCGTGACCCTAAAGACACCACAAGAAGTCCCACCGGACCGCAAGAAGTCCCACCAAAACAACATTTGCTGATATGGGAAGACCCTTAGGCTTAAGGGGAAACAGAGATGAAACACCATAGAAATTCCATTGGGTTGGGGATAACCTCCCCCATTCAAATCGAAACAGAAGATCACATAGTTCTGGGGGCCGGTGGCAGTTCTTTGGCGCGGGCATTCTTGGGGTTTTATGACCAACAGTGCGGCACCAAGAACACAAAGCACCAGACTTCTTACAGGACAACAACAAGTCATTAAGTTCATTAAGTTCATTAAGTTCATTAAGTTTTGCACAAGTTAAACAACAGAAGTTCCATTAAGTCTTGCACAATGACAGCCACTCTACATCCCCGCGTGTCCTACTGTCCTTGGCATAGATTTTTTTCCTTGGGAGGCTTAGAAGCCCAAACTGGACCGCCGGAAGCCCGCTTCGCGCAGAACACACGTGGGGCCAATATGGCCGGCCGACGAAGACCAAAAGACCAAAATGTGATCGGTGAGTCGTTTGGGCTTGAATCGGCACCAAAACCCTTTGCCTTTGGGGCTGTTTTTTGGGGGATGCCACTGTATACCTGGTTTTGCTCAGGTATGTGGATATACCTGTATTCTTTATTTTCATGTATATCGTGTAACGTCACAAGCCTCCAATCCGATCATCTTGTTTATTCAACCGTCCCACTAGGGCAGACCTCTTTTATTTGTTGATTCCCAAGTCACGCCGCTGCAGGTATTCCCTTAGGTCCATTGAACACCCGAAGATCCAATCTCTGGGTTTTGGGGGGTCATAAGGACCCGAAAAATATTTTCATGCCCAGGGGCCCAGCGAGTGTAAGTCTTGTTAACCACCCGAAAGCTGATGACTGCACACAGAAATCCAGCGGGTCACCTGCACACATCAGCCGTTTTGATTGCAATTCACTCCGCGCCCCAAGGCGCCTCTCCCCCCAAAATGCACCCCTCCGACCATGACCGACCACGACCGACCACGATCATTCCTCCTCCTCCTTGTTCCTTCGCAGCCGCAGGAGATGCTGCCGGGCTACGTGGAGGACCTGCCGGGCTTCGGCGGCTTCGGGCTCTTGGATCGAACCCCCGCGCCACCCGATGCCATGGGCTGCATGAGGCCCATACAGCTGAAGCAGTACGCATGGCATGAGAGGGAGAGACAGGCTCACAGGATCTGGGGACAGAGATGTCGAGAGTCTCCGGTGTTTGTGGGACCTTATTTTGAGGGGTCTATAAGGGGGGCAACTGGCCTAGAGTGTTTCATTGTGATATATGGAGCTATGGAGAGAAAAACAAGCAGGCAGCACTATATACAACCCAACAACTGGTTCCTAAACTAGTAGTACGCAACAGGTGCCAAACACCTTCCAAAAAGAACCAATTTTAAACATCCAATTGACAGGTGAATCTTGGCTCTTTCATCTCCAAACGGAGAATTTGCCACCGGCGGCCGGAGACCACCGAACCTCCACCCGCTAGGGGCGACAGCTTCGCCGAGTGCCCCACCGGCGCGCCCACCTCGCCACAGCGCAGCATCGCCACGCCGCGCACGCCGCGCAGCCGCGTGGCCTCGCCGGACGGGCCGACGCTCGGAGCCCGGGTTCAGTGGGGTGGGGGCGACGTGCGGGGCACGTGAGAGTGGCGGGCGAAGGGTGGTGCAGGGGTGCAGGGATGGTCAGGGGGGTGAGGTGGGGTGGGGCTGGGAGCAGATGATCGACCTTTAGTTGGAAGTTGGATCCAAAGAACCACATCGGATGGATGTTGAGCAACCCGAAACTGTTGAGCAACCAATTTGAAGGGAGCCTTTGTTTTCCAATGCAGGGAGAGGACCTTGACCACCCTCACCAGCGGCCACAGGCGCTCGGAGCGCCCGCGCGCGGCCCACGCGGCGCTCACGGCGAAGATGGAGCGCCCCGAGCCCAGCTTCGGCGACGCTGGGCGTCGGACGAAGAGACCCGGGGGGGGACCCGGGGCGCCACCGTTGGTCGTTGAAGGGGTCGGTGTGAGAAAGGTGTTTATTGCGTTTTTTTGTTTTGTGTGGCGTTGTTGTTTTGTTTTGTTTCTATATTTTTTTAAAGGAGGTTTCCCATAAAAATCTATGCGTACTGTATGTAGTGGTGGGGGGCAAAACCAGGGCAGGTGACCCCTGGAAGGAGCTGGTGGAGGGATTGTTTGTCGTAGTCCTTTTTTTTGGCCCCACACCCTGTTGGCTCTAAATTGATCGCTGGCGCGTTCGAGCGCTGCGGCTCAGACGCCCAGTTCTAAGGAGCTGCGACAGACTCTGGTCAAGGCTTTGGACAACTTCTTCTACATCTACAAGGATGACGAGGAGGCTGGGTGAGTCGTCTCTCTCGTGAGTCGTCTCTCTCCTGAGTAGTAAGCCGCTTTTCTATGTCCTTAGCATGATCTTGTTTGGTACAGAGTACTCAATTCATATTGACATTGGTTCCTCGAACACGTTTGGATCCGGTGGTCAGCTCGGCTCCAGGCCCAGCGCCTGCTGATCGGCCGAAAGCTCAAGGAGCGCCGGCTCCGAAAGCTCCTCGGCGGCGGCAAGCGACGGCCCGAAGCGGGGCAGCTGGATGAGCGGAGCACAGAAGGGGCAGCTCGGGGAGGTGTGTAAGAAGTAAGATGAATTAAGGGGGGATGTGAGGGGATGTGTGGGGTGGGACTGTCGCCAATCGATGGGGTTGGGGGATGCTCAGCTTGGTTGCTCCATTCATGATCCTGGGTCTTTTGTTTGGGTTGGCCAACATACAGTAACGATGGAATTGAATGGTATCCCTAGGCTTCTGAAGGCCCACCATTGATTCAATAGCCCGTATCGAAAAAAAAACATGACTAGACCGATTTGAATGGTCCTTCGAACCAGGTCGAACCATTTCTTTAATGGTCCACCAGACGCCAGCTGCCGCCTATGCCGCCTATGAGACCCGACATGTGACATGCTTCTCGACGTCGCCACACCCAAGTGCTTCGACCGGTTTCACCATGCCTTATTGGCCTTGGAGTTCTGTATACCACGCTGAAGCAAGTTTGGGCATGCAGTCAGACCGCCATTGGATCACAACCAAGGGGATAACTAACAGGGCAGTCAGCTGCATGACATCTCTTTGAAAGGGGGGCAGATCGGCAGATCTATGTACGAAAATACCTTTCATCTATACCCTTTACTCACTTTAACTGTTTCACATCCGTGATTCGGACTGCCTCTTTCCCGCAGTCACCCATGCTTTCCGTCACCGACCACCGCGACCACCCGGCCACGACCATCCGAGGCAACGCTTGGACGACGAGGAGCGACGAAAGCTGCGCGAAGAGCTGGAGGAGCCGGCGACGGTTCGCTGCGGAGCTTGGTGATCAGGTCGCTGATGGTAGCTTATGGTAGCTGATCAGACGGACTTCGAGGGTTGGTAGGGCTGCAACCTGAAGCTGCGGAGGACTCCAAGGGCCCTGGACTTGAGGGATTGCGTCCATCTCATGCGCAATCTCATGCGTCCATCACCAGTGGTTTTTCAGCAGTTCCAACATGTTCAACTAGACGTTAACCTTGCTCTACATAGCTATAGTTCACTTCTTGGGTCACTCATGCTTATAACTACAAGGCGCTTGCTTGAACCTTTTAACATAGATGGACTCCTCTCCCTCACATCAACGAGCTCCATGCTTTCCAGGAGCTGCGACGACAGGAAGAGGCTCGACAGCAGGAAGAGGACGCGCGACCGACGCGGCAGACGCGAGACCGGTGCGGTAAGTGGGATAGAGATGATCTCAACAGCCTTGAGCCATCCAACATGTAAGAGATCTATATGTAAATATGCGGGACGAGTCCTACAGAATCTCAGACTCACAGACCTTGAATGTGTCTGTGTCTAACGTGATTGAGTTGCTTGATGTTGCTTGCACCATCAGGAGTCAGTCTGAACTGGTCCGTCCTTCTTTTTCGGAGAAGGCACAACTCTAGAGATGATAAGCACAATGACGTGCCCTTAAAAAAATCACACACTTTTGGCATCTTTTGGCAATGCTTATTCCTCTCAATGCCCCAACACCTGGGTCAAGTTGGTGATTTCTGTCCACCTTCACCCACCGATTTTGGGCCGAAGGAGGCTCGCCGAAAAGCGGAAGAGCAGCGTCTCCGCGAGCAGGCGCGGCCGCAAACGAGAGCGAGCGTGACGAGCCGTCCACCCATTCGGGGCGTGATCAGCAAGGAATGCGGTCTGACGGAGAAAAGAAAACACAACGAAAAGCACGTGATCGGCTCTTTGGGCAAACTGGACATTGGGGGAACTGATCTTCTTCCCCCATGTCATCACACTTCATCACAAGTTTGATCAGTTGAAAAAACCTTTCTAGGACCACTCTGCATGTCACCAGTCTGTTTGCTTGTGATCTTGTGAGCTCTATTGGAGTCTCCGTTCAGCACGACCTGTCCAACATTGACGGACTGACAACGACCTCGTCCGGATCGGTCACACCGTGCCAGGCGGAGCGGGTGGAGGAGGAGAAGCGGAGGCGCCAGGAGGAGGAGCGCCGCGCCGCCGAGGCGCAGCGCCGGCGTGAGGAGGAGGTGCCAACGGATGGGGAGCGGAGGGGGATCGGATGGATGTGGTGCCTGTGTGGCACACCAAGGCTGCGGGTATAGTTGGGGGATGGGGGATTGGAAGAATTGGAGAGGGGCCGAGGTTTTCCGAGTGGGGGGTTTGAGACAAGAGATCATTTGGAGGTTGTGGATGCTAAGAAGCGGGGGTGATGACGGACACATAGACCAGGGGCCACAAAGGGGTGGTGTTTGGTCCCGCAGTGAGTGGATAATGGGCACCCCTAACCTCCAATAGGCACCCCTTTGTGGCTCCTGGGATATGACAATTGCTTGGTTCTTGGCTTTCCTCATTTTGAGGCTGCACACCGAAGAGTCGAGCCACCTCTAGAGATGATCTCCAAACTCACCGTAACCGCGCATGCCACCAATGGGGTTGATAAAATTGACTCTTGATTAATATGGATTAATACCACCCGATTTGAATTGGAAATCCTTTGGGGTGTTTATTAATCAAGAGTGTAAGGGGTCACCGTACACCCGGCATTGCCCTGAATCTTTGGGTCACCGTTGGGGTGTATCGCATGCGTCGCATGACCACGTTGGCCACCGTTTTGCTAGGCCAAGAGGGAGGAGGAACGCCGCGTGGAAGAGGCTCGTCGAAGGAAACAGGCTGAGGCGGGCGGAAGAGATTGGGTCTGGGGGAACAGTAGCTGGATTTCGTTGCAAACTCTCCAACGGACATTCACGCTTGCTGCATTTGCTGGATGCTGCTCTCTTTGCACTACTCTCACACGCGGCACGAGCCGCAGCAATGTGGGCAGTTTCCACCGTCCTTTACTATCTTTACTGTGTAGTCCGATCAACAAGGTCTGGTAAGCAGGTTTCAACAAACAAACTGAAATATATCCACTGGCTGATTCCATCCCAGCCAACAAAAAGGAACAGCATTCAAAAAAATGTCAACACAAAATTGGACCTTTGTCTCCCTCACACAGAGAATGGTCTGAGTCTCATTGAATACGAACGTGGCCGTGTTCAACATGATGTGGACAAAGTCACCTGCACTGGTCTCACGTTACACGGTTACCCAAGGACAAAGCGAGTTCACTTCTTGATGCTACCAGAAGGTGACACCGTGAACAGCGACACATTGAAATACCTGGACTTTCAAGGGGTGTCCAATGGAGGTCCCTTAGTGGTGTAGGGGCTTCCATTGGTGACCCCTTTGAAGGTGCTGGTATAGTCGGTACAAGTGGGTTCAGAAAGTACTCTAAGAATGATTCCAAGGTGGCTGTGAGGCTAAAGGCACCCTTACTAGCAGGTTTTTGCATGGCAACAAGCAACAACACATTTCAAGGGCTAGGTGTAGATCACTCACAAGACCGTGAATAAGAAACACCAGTGGCAAACCACAGAAAGCGGGAATGCAGTAGGCAACTGATAGACCTTTTTCATCCGGACAATGGTTTTGGGTGGGCTCCTTCCGTGGTTGGTTCAGAATGAAAGACGAGGTCACCGTTTTCCTCTCCCCATCCCCCTATCCCTTGGAGGTCGCTCGGCGCCCCGGTTTGGTGACTGGACACCGAGCCGAGGTCTCCGGGTGTGTCTTCTTTTGTCCAGTGTATGGCCGGGACGTTTGCTTGTCTTCGATTCGCATACTCCATTTGTAGTACAGAGGGGAGCCGTCCTACCTACTCCAGCCCGTGCCGGAATCCCACCGACCACAACGGGCTTCAACGGAACTTCCGGTCGCCGAGCTAGCCGACGACGGGGTTCTACACGGGTCACACGGATTCACACGGACCGATGGAGGGAAGCAGGATGGCATTTGAGCAGTTATCATTTGCATGACCCCCTATGACAACTTGGATAGCTTGTGTAGATTTTGCGCGAGTTTTACTTGGAGAGCATGGCCGCGATGTGATCTTTGGATAGATTTGGTCTTGCAGGGTTTTGTAGCCTCGTTGGTGAAGCTGAGCGATCCAGTCGCAGGAAGAGGCTGCCCGAAAGGCCAAAGAGATCCGAGTCTTGGTCGAAGAAAGAGAGAGCTGGGGCCGTGTCATGTTAACTTGGTGAAGTTGCTGAGCATCACTGTGCACTGCTGTGAAATGCACAGAGCATACGGCGGCCAACATGCTTGAAGAAGCTCTTGGGTCGGTCCGAAATGAAAAAGCTCTTGTGAGAGTGTCTGCTTACTGCGGTGCTTGTTCGGATGGAAGACGCAACTGTCCAGTCAACAAGTGACTGTCCAGTGCGGTCCCGGCAAGTGAACCCTGAGCAACTTTTTGAGGTATCTGAAGGTACCTGAGTACGTCACCTTTTGATACCATTTGATACCTATTCTCCGGGCAAGATGTAGCTTTGTCCGCCGGCCTAGTGGCCGGACATGGGTGAAGTCATTGACGAGGGAATTCTCCACGCGGAAGCCTGGCACTCGACATATTTCAGAGGTATTTGTTGATAAATGATGATACATGATAAATGCATATAAATGCTGCTGAGAACCTAGAAGCATTCTATAAGATATTGTAAAGTATCACTTCTTCATGTTTCTTTTTTAAACGTGCCACTAACACATGCTTTTGGGTTCTGTATTCTCAACCCCCACAGGTGGCCAGCCTTTCTCTTTCCGTTTCCCCGGCTCTTTTCGTCTCGCGCCAGCCGGCGCCATCCGAGACCGACCGCCGAACTCGACTGAGGAGAGCGGCTCCTCGCAACGATGCAGGAGAGCCAGTGGTCTCGTTGCAGTGGTGCTTGGACTGAGAAGTTGCGGGAGAAAAGAGGTCACAAAGAGACTTTTGATGACTTTTGTATACTTGGACCAGCACGACTCTAGAGGTCACAAAGGATGTGGTATTTTTTTGAAAGATATCATGTTGATGTGCTTTCCCGCAAGCAGGTCGGGTTCCTCACAAGTCCAAGTAGGGCGTGCCACAAGACTTTAGACATCTTTAGACCAATTTCTAGCACTTCCTTTGCCATGTGGGGTTGAAACGTGCTCGGATCTCAGGGAGAGAATCGTTGTCCTTTTTTCATGGTCTTGCATGCGCACGCGCGGGTGTGTGTGTGTGTGTATGTGTATGTGTGTGTTTGCCGTGTTTCTTTCCCCACAATGTTTCAGCTTTTTTTACTGTGAGAAAAAACGAGTATTGAAATCGTGTGTTCCACGTCTCTCTTCATCAATAATCAACTTGACACCTTTTTTGAGAAACTCGAGTCATGACACATTTATAAAATTAAATGCAAAAAAACACAAACAAAACAACACAACACCTTTTGCTTTCATGAAAGACACCCATTTTCGCCCGGTTTTTCGTCGGTGCCTGAAACCTCATCTTTGGCATAGTAGAACGCCACCGTCTCGGCTCGTGCTTTCGTGCTCGGTGCTTGCGTTCTACGCCACCGTCTCGTCGTCTCGTTGAGCCGCAGGAGTTGGCCCAGAGCCGCGACGGTTGGGTGCTGAAGAACGCCATCGCCGAGGGCGAAAGCGTAGGCGCGCGGAAGAACGTGCCGCAGTGCCGCGCGGGCGCGCGGCGAAAACGGGCTGACGCGGCGTAAAGAAATACACCGCGCGGGGCGGGCGGTGTCCGGTGTAGATTGTGGTAAGTGAATGGACACCTGGGAGGTGAATGAGGCGGGGGTCATTCTTTTTTTCGAGGTGTAGCTATTTTTTGGGGGGAATGGAACTTGCTGATGTTCCTTTACAGGGTATCAAAAAGAAAACATCAGGAAGGACAAAGGCTTAGCTTGCTGTTTGCTTGAATACTTTGACCACTCCTTAGGAAGGTTTTGCCTCACTCGTCACAACTTGGGAACGCCACGGCAAAACCTCCACCTAACGCGTCGGCGCGTGGTTCTTCGCAGGAGGCCCGGCTATTGGACGACCCACACCGAAACGGACCAAGGATCGAACCCGTCGCGATCTGTGGAGGTTTGGATGCCGAGCTGCAACCCTTGCGCGAAGCATTGAAGGAGGCCGGTGTCGGAAAGGGTTCCCAAAGAAGTCTATAGCCCCAAACATGGGAGTGGGATGGAGTAATTACACAGGTGTGTCGGACAGTGTCAGAAAGGAGATGAAATGAGTGTTTGTGTTGAGAGGGAATACAGATGGTTTGTTTGGATCACTCCCTTTGATTCGTTGACAAGCATGGAAGAGGTGAAGTTCCACCTGTTCATGTCCTTATTGAAGGGAAGGAAGTAATGAGCAAGATTCGCCAGATCTTGGTTCAATTCCTCTTCAGGAGGGCAGGCTTTTCTTACCACTGAGTTCAATTTGGATGGTGGCGCCAGGCCTGTCTTCTGAACACCCCTCATTTACAACAATCAAAGGCCAAGAAGATCCAAGAAGCCACCTAGGCATTTGAGGAGTGCGTTTGAAAACCCAGACCTGTCTGTATTAAGGCCCAGGGAGGCAAGCTTGGCCTCCAACCAGCCGCAACCAGCTTGCCCAGACCTGTCGACTGTGCAGCACAGATGCACTTCCGACCAGCTAAGACCAGCTTGACCAGGTGCACGAGCTACGCAAAGCGGCGCTCCTGCCACTGGTCGAACGAGCTCCGTGCGCGGAACACGCGCGGAATACGCGCGACGGGGGACGAAGTCTGGGAAGTTCTTCTTCTGGTTCAGCGGTTGAGTTCTTGTTTTTGGTGTGTGTGTGTGGATATGTCATGTGCATCTAAGTGTGTGTGTGTGTGTGTGTGTGTGGATGTGTGTGTTTAAATTTCTATTTTGAGATGTATCTGAACTTGCAAGATGTATTTTTGCGGATTCCATCGCTTGAGATGGTACCATCTAGGGCCTCTAGGGTAGTACACTCATTCCCTACAGGCACGGTGGGGACTCTCCTGGCTGGACTGGGCTGTGAGCCGCACGCATGCGCCGCATGAGTCCCCTGCCGCAGTTCCAGCCGAAGATGGATGGATGATGGAACTTCTCCCCCTTATAGATCAGGAACTGCACCTAACTTGATTTTAACTGGAGTTGATCTATATATAAACAATCCACTCAACCACGACTCCTCCTCTGCCTTGCCAGTTGGTTCGATGACCGACCCATGGACCCCTCGACTGGGACCTCGACCGGGGATCATCACGATTCAAGTCTTTTCCTTCCTGGGCGCGAGGGGCGAGGGCCAGGTTCCAAAGAGTTCGGGTGGCTCCCTAGAGCCAAGAACGGGTGGAGGGAGGTACATGCTACCATGCCCTGTAGGCATCCGCGTCCGTTTGGGATGTACAACAACATCTAAATACATGGCATTTGCTTTGTTCCTTGGACCATCCAAGGCGACTCTGATGGTTTGATGGTGACCCCCCCGCGAAAACCGCCTTTCCTCTTCCGCCGAGGAAGGCACGCAAGGCGCAAGAGAAGTTAGCCAACGACTTCAAGACCGCCAAAGAGGCCCAGGCGCTACTTACTTCCTGTTCACAAGCTCGGTGCCTCTATGGGTGTTAGCAATCACATATAGCTGACCATGGCTGACCTTTGAATTGCAACAGCTGGCTTGTTCATGATGAGAGTTTAGTCTTATAGTCTTTCAAGACCCAAGACACCATGCGTTTGAACCATGTTTTGGACGTGGCGTCGGCTGAGGCCGTATACCCCCTCCCACCGCCGAACCGTCCGTCCACCAGGACTTCGGCGGCCCCGTCTTGGCGGCGCAGTGGCGGGCGGCGGTGAAAGAGGTGCAAAAACCCTTCGTGATGCCCGAGTAGAGCGAGAGAGCGAGCCACAGAGCCACAAATCAGAGCGCGAGGAGAGCCCTCCCAGAAGTCATGTGGGAGGGCCACAGCTTCCTTCGCTCAGTTTCACGGGCGTTGGGTTGTTTGAAGAGAGGGGAAAGGGGACGACAAACGACTTGGGGACTTTATTTTCACGGCCCCGATGCACAGGATGGCAGATTGATCCCCCCGGCCCGGCCCTAACGCCGCTACAGCAGTTTCTTACAGTTTCCAGGAGATGCCACCCCTTCAAGGGGGTGGCTTTTGACCTGCTGGGAACGCATGACCAACACGCGAACACGCCACCAGCGCGCCGCGTGCGATGCGAGTCTCGGCTGGGCCTCTCGAACGAGAGCCCGGACGAGTGTCGGCGACTGCGCTGCGACGGATGTGGCCCTTGCGCCCTGCGATGTACACGTCTGATGCATTGCATCGAAGCTGAGTCTATTCCCAGGGCAGATCTACTCAACCTACTCCAGGTCACAGCATTTTTGTAGCTATAGGCTATAGCTTATAGCATTAAAATGCATTAAATCCATATAAATACCTCTTTTACATCCTGAGGAGCAGACACGGGCCGGGTCTTCCCGTGTCTTCGTCTTCCTCGGTGACCCACGGGTCCAACGGTGATGACCGTTGCGGCGGTCCCCGCAGTCCGGTCCGGGTCCGGTACGTGTAACCGGTTCACGGTGAGCAGGGTCCTCTGCCCGGGTCCAAGAGAGGTTGGACAGTGAACCCGGAAAACCTGGACAGACCGTGGACAGTGGACCCGGAAAACCTGGCGTACCAGACGGATAGTCGAACTAAGGCAGGTTAAGTGACGAACTAGGACCCTACTGGGGGACCAGACTGGGATAGTCATGGAGAGTCGAACTAGGGTTCTTCAACCTCTGTTTGTTTTGTTTTCCAGGTCTTCGGAGGGTCGAACGGAGGGTCGAACGGAGGTGAGTGGACACGTACGAAACAGAATGTGCGGGTTTGGCAGGACTGGATCGATTCGGAGGGGACCCGAGAAACGGGGGGCCCATGACAGGACACGTCAACCATAGCACGAATCGTCGCAGGAGCAAGCTGGTCTCACTCTCCAGCCCAACGCAGTGCAGAATTTGAGCCTCAAACGAGGACACCAATTCGTGGTAGAGGTCGTCGTCCAAACGACGTTATAAAGAGGAGATGACCACCAGTTGGTTTTTGTGTTCTGCCCATGTTCGTGAAATCTCTGCGTTGAACTCACAGCCTACCTCATTTCAGACCTACTCAGTAGGGGGAGACTATATAGGTCCGTTGGGCTCTACAGACCTCTCCATAGATCTTGACCGCGAAGCGTCCTGGAACCTGGGTCCAGAAGTGCATGGGTCGAGCACCATCTTCTGCACTCGTCTTTTGCAGCCTGTAATGAGAGGGAAGCATTAGAAAGCCTGTAATGAGAAACGGAAGCCTCAAGCCCAACCCGCCTTTCCATTGATTGGGTTTCAGATGGTTTCAGGATGTTTCAGGCGTTTCTCGAAAAAAGGATGCCCTAAGAAAGGCAATTTGCGAGGGCCCTCCAGCGAAGAGGTGACGAAAGCCAACAAAAACAAATTGACGACCTTTTGGAAGGAAAAGGATTGGTTTCAATTATGAAGGCTCAATATATCATGGTCGACTACTTCGGGAAACCTCTGTTTATTTTGAATCTGAGCCTGACAGATATATACTATGATACTACTATGGGTTTCAAGTGAATGCATTGGAAGACTCAAAAGGATCGAATGGATCTGGAATGGTTTCACATGTTTTCACCTTTTCCCCAGATGATTCTTGGCCCCCCGAGTTCAGCAACACGCAAATGAGTGACCCGTGCCACAAACATGTGGCCAGTGTAGACATGATGGACTTTGATGAATACGGGTTGCCTGCAGTAATGACATATATAATGACCACCATGCAGTCAGTGTAAGATTCCCACCCGGGTGCCCGGCCATCACTGAGAATATGAACAGAGTGGTCTTTCTGGGACCTGAAAGGGACCTGTCCTTTCCTTCATTAAGGATGGGTATCGTTTTTGGACTCCTAGGGCACTGCCTGTTTCACTCTGGCTGCTTGTGAGTCATGACCTGGTACTCACACATGGTTCACTTTTTTTGGAAGTTGCTCTTTCACCAAGATCCTGCAAATTCTGACCCACACCCATCCGACGCCTCTGATCACATGGATCAGCGGATCGATCAACGGATCGCCGGCGTGTGAGACGGGCTGCCCAAAGAAGACAGTACATGGAGCGTGGGGTTTGGGTTAATATCGTATGTAAACTAATTGCATTCCTTATACCAGGACCCTCCAAGGGGTGCCCAATGAAAGCCTATAGGTAGTGTGGGTAGATCATTGGACACCCCTTGGAGGGTCCTGGTATTATTGTTGCGTTAATTCTAATTGAAAACGGCTGCTCAGTTCGTCGACGCGGGAGGAAGAGTTCGCTTCCGGAATTCCCACGGCAGGACCGAATCAACTCCTTCGGTTTCAGATTGCAGCGATTGGGGGGGGGACCTTCTTCAGATCGCTCGTATACGGCCGAAGCCAAGGCATTCCCAGGCGGTCGCGCTGAGGGACCATCTGAGGGTTCAGTCGCACCTGTCACGCCGAAGCTTTTCCCTCCCATTACCCATTGATCCGATCTACCCTCTAGCATTTATTAGCCATTGGTCCCCTGGTCCCCTGATGTTCCCAGGACCTCGATGTTTGAGTGACTACCAGCAGTCACAGAGGGGTGCTTAAGGGAGGTTCGGAGTGCCCATTATCCATTCACTTAGGGACCAAACACCACCACCAAACACCACCCCTTTGTGACTGCTGGTACAGCTGTTTCTTTGTTCAATTCGCATTCGGCACGAATTCGTTTCGATTGGATGCACCGTCTCGCTGCGGCGTCTCGCGAAGCACGCCATGTGACAAGCAGGAAAAAGGCTGCACAGAGATATGCAGATGCGCAGAGAAGATCTTCGTCTTTTTGGGTATACAGACCACAAAGCTAGAGAGTCTAGTACCAGGGCCCCCGGTTTGGGGTAGTTAATGGATATTCCATGATATCCCTTAACCCCTAAGGAGCTATAATTAGACACTATTCCCTTAACCTGGGCCCTGGTCGACTTTTGAGAGAGGTTCTTTGCGTCCCACAAGTCTCACATGGTCTGGTGACTGGCTAGTGAGCACTAGATGTACACACTCTGTATGGTGACTGTGTAGCTTTTTGAGAGTCTGCAATCTTCCGACCATCAAGGTTGTATACCATTTGTTGGGGGGGGCTGAAGAGGCGTGTGTCTTTTCCATTTACAAGCCCCTCTCCGCAGTTGTCACGCCCCGTCACGAACAACCCCCCAATATTCCAAAAGAAGACCGGTCGAGGGGGCGCCTGGGAAACACCTCCAGCCTGGCCTCTTCAGCCTCGCTGCCTGGCAGAATCAACTCCTTCCTGTAAAAGTTTCCAGGACGCACAAAAAATAAGCAACACCATATGTGAAGATATATATGTGAAGTATCACGTTTGGACCATACACTCCAACAGCATCCAACAGCTATAGCTTTTCTTTTCGGGCTGGGCGGTCAAAAGAGTCTGTTCATGGGTCGCTCCTCTTTCGGTTTGTCCTTTTACGACATGGTAGAAGTTAGAAGTGCTTTGACTGTGCTGCAGCCACGGAGGGTTCGAAATCGTGTGTTTGGCTTCCATTATTCCAGGGAAAGGAGGCCGCCTCGATGCAGATGACACCAGAGAGTCTCTTGCCTCAAGCATCCTCAAGCTTGGGAACACCCTCCAAGGTTCATTCCGGGTTTGGACTCCTTCCGGCCGTTCGGGCTCCTTCATGCTGCATGCCGAAGGTCACACCTGTGTTCCTCTAAGAAAGCTCTAGCTCCTTCAGCGTCATTGGCCGGGTTTATGTCAGCATCACCATGTCTAGCGCGCAGGGCATCCAAGCCGTATGTTTGCTCCTCTTTCCTTGCTTAATGCGGCCAAGTGTTCGTAAGATGAACGAGTCAAGATCCCAGCACACACACACAGACATACACGTTTGAGGCGACCCAGTGGTGCTTTGCGGGGAAGCGCGGTGTTTGCGATGAAGTGCGGTGTTTGCCTCAACATGATGTCTCTTTCTTGGGTCAAACAGCTAACATATCATTACCTTGACCCCAAATCCCAGTCAGTTCAATGCACATCCCACTGGGTCAGCTTGGACCCTGGCGAGTACAGTCGTTTCAGAGCACCAAAAGAGGTTGGCAAATAAATCATTTCTATTGTCCTCTCGAGCGAACTGACATGGAACCTGAGACTTGACCCGTAGTTTCGACCGTTTTCCTCTACATCTTTCGGGGTTTTGGGGTTCCATGTGGTCCTCTATGAGTGGTCCTCAAGAATGCAGTCCTAGGTGAACGATGCCCACAGCGGTGGCTCTTTCACGTTCACATCCCACTCCATCAGTGTGTTGGAACCTCGAGAAGAGTCCGTTGGTAGAACCACGAGAGATGATTGTTGGCTGAAACATCTGCTGGAACAATCATCCAACACATTTGCTGGTAGAACCAGCCAAATCAGGAGATGATGGTTGCTAGAGCCTGAAACCTCTGCTGGACTTTTGGCCCATCACTTGCCTCCTTTTCTTTCCCCACCGTGGCCGCGAACGCACCGCGCGAACGCACCGGTGGACCCGAACCGAGCCGCGCGTTGAGGTTGGGACTATCAGGGTGGCCGCTTGAAGCTCATCGGCGACCCCGAGCCCATCAGCCTTCTCAAGGGCGACATTGTGGCCCGAACGGAGACGGTTGCGAGGGGGTTGCGAGGGGGTTGCGAAGGGGGCTTGCGGAGGTGAACGGGAAGGAGAAGGAGAACGACGAGGGCGGAGAGATGTGGAGAGATGTGGAGAGGGTCCGAGGACGATGTGTGGATGGTCCACTGTGGGAGATGCGCCCCAATTCCCTCCGACCCCGCAAGATCCCAGGGGCCCAATCCGATTGATTTGGGCGAGGTGTGAGAAACAGTCACAGGACCCCCCCTTAAGGGGTGAGGAAGTGGTGGTTTCACACACCTTCCCACCGACCTCCAGGTGGAAACATCTGAACCTTCGATCGTCTGACTTCTTTTTTCTTTTTTCACCGAACGGG